TAAGAAAAAAATTAATTGTGCAATTGATTAAAAAAAAAAAAAATATAATTAAGTAATTTCTTACAGAGTATTTTTTATTTTTTTTAAATATCGGTGCCCTTTTTTCTTGTCATATGCGCACGCAGTCTAAAAAAATCGAGCTTGATCAAATGGCGCCATAGTTTTCACGTGACAAATAAGAAAAGTTCGTTTGGCTTCGTACGGTTGTATCGTAGTGAATTTTAACAAAAATTCAATTAAAAAAAAATACGTAAGCTAGGCTACTGATATGAAATACGGACCCAGTTTTATCGAATTCTTAAACTAATAAAAGAGGTCCGGTCTTGAAATATCAATTTGTTCGGGAGTAATCGTTGGTACATCTAAAATGGGGTGACATCCGGACGTCCAAGTAAAATTTTTTTCAAAACGTTTTTTTTTTCAAAATAGCAACATGAAATGATTTTAGAAAGTAAAAGATGGCTTAATTTAAGTGTTTTTTCAGTGTACATCTACTTATATCATTGTATAAGTGTAATATGGTTGTGATAGAGGCATTTAAAGATCACAAAATTGCTTGACCTTGATGAGTCGAGTATAAAGCACAACCTCACGCGCTTCGCGCTATGAGGCGTGCAATTAAGAAAACGGTTGACCCTAAAGTCTATCCCTGCAACTTCCCGCTAATTTCATACCTAAGCGCTTAAAATTGCACTTACTACGTTTTTGAGCTCTCTGAGCTCAAAAATTTGATAGAATAAGTTTAAGGAGGTTCGAGCGAATCTAATATAAAAAATAATTTCCAACTTTGAGCTTTGAAATTAAGTATACGTATAAATACACATTTTTTATTTCCTTATACACGGGCTCTTATAGCGGACAAACTTTAGTCGAGACTTTAATTATTTTTTTCAATATTAACCTTCCAACTTTAACGAATAAAAAACTATACACAAGAAATTTGGATTATTGTAAAATATAAAAAAAATTTAATAATAACACATTGCCGATATAATTTTTGAAATATTTAAAGTTAAATTTTATGTTTTCAACCCGTTTATCGTCAGCTATTCATTCGAATAAAGATTTGGCAACGTCGCGTCAACAGCTGAGAAAAAAGAAAAGGATAGAAATATAGTTACAGAGAGAGAAATATTTAACTCATACACTCATCCACGTCTCTGCTATGGGTATAATCAAACGCGCTGTTTCCAAATCTGTTTATTTAATCTGGCAAGTAATAAATACCAGGCATTTTATAAAATAAGTAAAAATCATCAATTATTAAACTGTTCAAATTATTTTAAATTAAAATAAAGAATTTTGACGAATATTGGGAAGACTGCCCGTGTAAAAAAACATCGTCTTAAAATTGTCTTAAAATTATCGTTCGTTTAAGATCTTAAACGTGACTCAAACCAAGACTATTTTAAGATCCTTTTAAGACACCAAAAAAAAATTTCGCGAGCAAATTTTTGGAAATTTGGCTCTCGAATTTGTTATGAAAATTAAGTTTTAGACATTTTTTAGACGGTTTTACGACTTTCTAACCGCAACATTTTTGAGGTCGCTCTTCTTAAATTGTTGAAAAATTTTTATTGGACAATTTTATGACTTTTTTAAGACCATTTTGAGACTATTTAAAGGAGCTTTATAATAATTTTCCGGAGCTGCTGTAATATCTTAAAATATCCTGAAAATTTTTTAATGATTTTTTCAAGACTATTTTAAGATTTTTTTGAGACTTTTTTGAGATTTTTCTAAGACTATTTTAAGACTGTTTAAGGAGGCTCTATAATAATTTTTCAGAGCTCTGCCGGTGTGAGCTCATCTTAAAAAAGTCTAAAAATTTTTTTCAAATCATTTTGAGACTATTTAAAGGCGCTCTATAATAACTTTTCGGAACTGTTGCTGTGATATCATTTTAAAATAGCCTGAAAATTTTTTAATAATTTTTTAAGACTATTTTAAGATTTTTTTAAGACTATTTTAAGATTTTTTTCAAAACTATTTTAAAATGAGCTTACAGCCACAGGGCACGTAACATTAAAACGGAGCGTCTTAAAATAATCTTGAAAAAATCTTAAAATACTCTTAAAAATATCTTAAAATAGTCTAAAAAAAGTCATTAAAAAATTTTCAATTTTGATATCACAGCGACAGCTCTACAAAATTATAATAAAGCGTCATAAAATAGTCTTGAAAAGATCTTAAAATAGTCTTGAAAAAATCTTAAAATAGTCTTAAAAAAATCTTAAAATAGTCTTAAAAAAATCTTAAAATAGTCTTAAAAAAATCTTAAAATAGTCTTAAAAAAATCTTAAAATAGTCTTAAAAAAATCTTAAAATAGTCTTAAAAAAATCTTAAAATAGTCTTAAAAAAATCTCAAAATAGTCTTAAAAAAATCATTAAAAAATTTTCAGACTGTTTTATGGAAGATTATTATAGGGCGTCTTAAAATAGTCTCAACATGATCTTAAAAAAGTCATAAAATTGTCCAATAACAATTTAAAATTCAATTTAAAAAGAGCGTACTTAAAAATATTGCGGTTAGAAAGTCGTAAAATCGTCTAAAAAATGTCCAAAAATTAATTTTCATAATAAATTCAAGAGCCAAATTTCTAAAAATTTGGTCTCGAAATTTTTTTTTATTGTCTTAAAAGAATCTTAAAATAGTCTTGGTTTGTGTCACGTTTAAGATCTTAAACGAACGATAATTTTAAGACAATTTTAAGACGATTTTTTTTACACGGGTTTCTGTAAAAATAACGTTAATATTGATCAAATAATTTTTACGGTTGATTCGTCGTTTATTCATGATATCCTGAAATATCTTATTCTAATTTAATAAAATTGGGTTAAGAATTTTTCTATTGCAATGCTAATGACTGCGAAGGTTAAGAATGAAATATTTAGAAAATTTACCTTAAATTCTAGCTACCAGTTGGCATTTTTTTTTAATTTGAAAATTGTTTGTTCAAACTCGTCCACTGTGGAATATTTTATGGCTGGCTTGTAGGGTCGACTGCTTTTCCTGTTTATTTTTTTAATGTATTCAACGAGATTATTCGAGTAGAACATCATGTATGAGTATGTATACAATATTCGTATCTTTTGAGTAATGAAACACTATTCGTTCTTAATTGCAATCGATTTTAGGCGCTCGTTAACGTGACAACAAAATTACGAGCTCTATTAAATTAGAGAAAAGGATAGAGTCTTCATTCGATAGATATGATTTTATACCGTAAGAACTGTAAATTGAAATAAATCGTATTTACTCACGTAGAATTATATTGTTTTAGCTTATTCTACTTTTATTTCTCATCACATCTGGGATTATGAAAATTTTTAGTATTTTAACTACATGTTAAGAGTGTATTTCTATCATTTTTCATTTTACTAATTGTGCTTTATATGTATATTCGTTGAAGATAAATTAAATATTTTCTATTATTTTCTTTTCATTTACTTATTATTTTATTTTATATATTCAAAGTCTAATTTATTTTTCTTTAATGAATTATTAGTAAAATTGATTTATTAGAATTTTTTGACTTTTTTTAAAAATGCTGACGTTAATTCAAATGTAGTTGATTAAAAACCAGGGTCAGATGGTATAAGTTCTTTTGAAGAGTGGAAAAAATAGTTTTGATTTTAAAACTCAATACTTTAAACTCAACTTTTGTTTATTAAGATTTAATATTATAAATTCCCTTTTTATTAAAGATGATAGACTGTAAGTTCATCAATTTTTATAACATTATCGATCAAAGTAAGAAAAAATAGTAGTAATTTAAAGAAACAATGTTGTTTTATAATTAATTAAAGAAAAAAATGTCAACTTAAATAATTTTAAACTTGATTTGTTTTTTTTTTT